CCCACCATCAACAGACAAATACATAAACAAAATGTGGCATATACATACAATGCAATATTATTCAGACATAAAAAAGAATGAAATTCTGATACATGCACTGCTACAACATAGATAACCTTGAAACACTATGAAGTGAATTAATTCTAACACAAAAGGGCAAATAATGTGTGAATTCACTTATATGAAGTAACTAAATAGGCAAATTCATAAGGATAGAAAGTAGAATAGAAGGTATCAGGGGCTGGGAGTGAGGTGGAATTGGTGAGTTAATATTTAATGGGTATAGAATTTCTTTTGGGGATGACAAAAGGGTTCTAGAAACAGATAATGATGGATGCACAACATTGTTTTGTTTTGTTTTTGAGTTGGAGTCTTACTCTTGTAACCCAGGCTGGAATGCAGTGGCACGCTCATGACCACTGCAGCCTGAATCTGCTGGGCTTAGGTGATCCTTCTGCTGGAACTACAGATGCACGCCACCATGCCCAGCTAGTTTTGTGATTTATTGTAGAGACGAGATCTCACCAAGTCGCCTAGGCTAGTCTCGAACCCCCAGGCTCAGGCAATTCTCTCACCTTGGCCTCCCAAAGTGCTGGGATTACAGGCTGAGCCACTGCACCCAGCCAACATTGTAAATGTAATAATGACACTAAACTGTACACTTAAAAGTAGCAAAAGCGGGCTCGGTGGCTTAGCATGTAGTCCCGCGCCTTGGGAGGCTGAGGTGAGTGGATTGCCTAAGCCCGCGGGTTCGAGACCCGCTTGGGCAACTTGGTGAGACCTCATCTCTACAATAAATTAAAAAAAAAAAAAATTAGCCGGGTGTGGTAGCACGTGCCTGTAGTTCTAGCTACTTGGAAGGCTGAGGCAGAAGGATCTCCAGAGCCTAGCAGGTTGAGGCTGCGGTGGCCAGGAGCGGCCACTGCACTCCAGTCTGGGCAACAGAGTGAGACTCCAACTCAAAAAAAAAAAAGTAGCTAAAATGGCCAGGCATGGTGGCTCACACCTGTAATCCCAGAATTTTGGAAGGTCAATGCAGGCAGATTGCTTGAGCCCAGGAATTCAACACCAGACTGCAATTTAGCGATAACTGGTCTCTACAAAAAAAAAAAAATCAAAAAACTAGCCAGGCGTGGTGGTATGTGCCTGTAGTCCCAGCTACTCTGGATGCTGAGGTGGAAGGATGGCCTGGCCCACCCAGAAGATCCAGCCTAGGCAACAGAGTGAGACCCTGACTAAAAAAAATTTAAATTTAAATTTAAATTTAAAAAGGCTAAAATGAGCCGGGCTTGGTGGCTCAGCCTGTAATCCCGCGCCTTTGGGAGGCTGAGGTGCGTGGATTGCCTGAGCCCGCGGGTTCGAGACCCGCCTGGGCAACTTGGCAAGATCTCATCTCTACAATAAATCAAAAAATTAGCCAGGCATGGTAATGCGTTCCTGTAGTTCCAGCTACTTGGAAGGCTGAGGCGGAAGGATCGCCAGAGCCCAGCAGGTTGAGGCTGCGGTAGCCGGAAGCGGCCAC